AACAGCAGGCACACATACGCATTAATACACACATCAGAAGAATTAGAAATTAAAAGAGGAGTGCGACAGGGGTGTGTATTGTTACAACTACTATTCAATGCATACTCTGAAGAAATTATGAAAAAAGCTTTTGAGCGAGAAACAGCAGAAATAATGGTCAATGGAACACCAATTAACAACATTAGATATGTGGACGATACTATCATAATAGCAGGCAACTTTCAAATGCTAATAAACAAGATAGTTGAGTATGGAGAAGAATATGGATTATCAATAAACATCAAGAAAACCAAATTTAGAGGATATAAAAAATCCAAAATAATGATGAAAGCCTGACAATTAACGGTAAAACTTTAGAACAAGTTGAAAACTACAATTATCTTGGCACAATAATTAATCACACAAACGATTAATCCAAAGAAATCAAAGTTCGAATAGAGAAAACACGAACAAAATTCAATAAAAGGAGGAAGGTACTTTGTGCAAGAGAACTAAAATTAGACTTGAGAGTTAGCTGGCAAGGCAAGGTGTTATATTTTCTCGACTCTGCTTTACGGGATATAAGCATGGACAAAAGAATGGAAATCAGAATAGCCATGATGATTGCCTTCCTCCGTAGCGGAGATGGCAAGTAAAGAAGAAGTAATGTGATGAAAGACGCTTATTGATGCTGGGAATTTCGAGTTTTAACAATGTCAACGTTATTATATTTCTCATTATTTTAGTTTTATAATTAATTATTAATTTTGGTACCTGGTACCTAATTTTTTTCAACGAGAATTATTACAATCATTAGTTATTACCTCAGCGGAAGCTATAAAGGAGAATTTTTCTTAAGCTATAATTAATAATTTGACATATAATTTGCACGTCGATGACATACGCCTGACTTAACTGTTTTTATTAGTTCATAAAAACTGAATGGTAACGTATGTGTGCAAAGCAGCATCGATATAATATACTAAGGATGGAACAAGTCGATATTATTACATATAGCTGATCACCTACGTTACACGTCATTATATCTTTAATTCAAATGTAAATAACAACAAAAATAAATAATTACTGTACAAATATATGTACCAAAAGATTTTTTTTCGTACACCACTGATATTCCGGAAACAATAGTCGGCCATTTTTATCGACAACTTTGAACGCAAATATTTATTCATAGCATGGACGTATAAACACAGATGGACTCAGTTATTTACATAAAATTGTGTAGTCAAAATTATTTGAATAGGTCACATTCTCAGCACCTTCAACTGTTGTCACGTTTTATTTTAAAATTTCTTATTCGCGAGTCGCTGAAAATATTAGTCCGTGTTTTATACTCTACAGGTGCTATCAAACCAAAATAATAATTTATTGGTTAGATTAATATATTTAATTGTAATCAAAATATCAAGTGTGCATTATCATTTAATAATAGCGTATAATAGATATCAATCAACTATTTTATATGTAGAAGCACTGAAAACTATTTATAAATGGCAACGGTTGTTTACATTTCTCTGTCTTATGGATGTACGTCAAACTTCAAATGCTGTTCCATGTTTATTTACTTTTTACAGTGGATGAGGAAAAGTTATTTTTCGATATTTTGGCTGTATTTTGAATGATATTTGTGAAAAGTGAAATAAAATAAACGAAATATTTACATCCCGATCTCTCATTTCATTTCTAAGTACATACAATTTACAATATTTAAGATGAGGAAATGAGGAAGCGTGTTTGTTTACATTTTAATAGGCGTACCATTGGGTTTATTCATGTTCACTAATGTATTGAATAAGATATGAGTTCATGAAATTAGTAGACATTTAATGTAGACATTGATTAAATGTTAGTAAAACATCATCTGATTTTAGTGAAATGAATAAAACTCATTTATTTTTCTATGTAGGTTTCCAAATATTGACGATCGAACTATTTGGGCAGCAAATTTAGGAGAAAACATAAAGATTTTTTATTGTAGCATTATTTTGATAACTTTTAAAAAATTAACTTGAATTCAACTATATTTAATTGATTAATTGTATTAATTTTAAAGCAAATAAAATTGTATTTTAATTTTTCGATAAAGGCGTGATTTGTTAATAGTTAAACTCTCGTTTTTTTTAATTCTTTGAACGTGTTTTTATACATTATTACTACTTCCAATTTTTAAAATCTGAATAATTACCCGCGAGGAATAATTCAAGCACGCTTATGCTCATTGCGGAAGCATCACATTCTATCGGAGCTTCAAAACATTGTGTGTTAAAGGTATCGTATTGCTGTGTCCATCTATGTTTATACGTCCATGATTCATAGGTTCTATCCTTAGTATATTATATCGATGTTGCAAAGACCCTTCTCTTAATGGGTCGTTAAACGAACGTTACAATTCTGTGCTTTATCAACAAAACAGAATATCGATGGATCTCCTGGATATGTAAAGTAGGTATTATGATTGTCGGACTCCTTGATTACTCTCATATAATGTGGATAAAAACACGGTTCTTAACATTCTTGCATAATTCTAAAAATTGTCAACGCCTTATATGTCATTAAAGTTACTTTGCATTGACACGAGATGTATTGCACATGGGATTAGGAGATATTTTTTCTCGTAATACAGTGTACACATATTGCACAAATATCTATCTATATAAAAAGCCAGGACAAGTAACACTGTTTGTCCGAGGATAACTCCTAGCGTCACCTAAGAAAGAAATCTGAACTACCATCAGACATTTCAATCTACTGAGTCAATCATATTTTGCTCTTAAAACGATACGTTTAATTAATATTAATTACATATTAGTATAATTAATAATATGATTGTTTCACAAAATTGCCAAAAATATGGTTGCTGTAATTTTAAGATAAGATTTAGAAAAAAAATAATTTAAAGATCGTGGTTTTACGATCCTATTGCACTACGTGTCCATAGAAAGATAACAGCCTCTGCTGCTTCGAACATGTTTCGCGCAAAAAACATAAATAATAAACAAAATCTAAAAGAACCGTGTTAACAACAATGCCATCTCTCCTCTACTCTCCCTACATCCTCCGAAGGACGTCAGCTCGTCCAACCACCAGTGGTAGGAATCAAATACACATAAGTGTCTACACCACAAATTGATATAAAAAACACACCTTGTAGTTTCACAGAATACCTAAACAGGGCATATATATAACAAAGAAACAATACACAACAAAGAAAGCTGATAAAATTATTCATGTCACATAGTTTTAAATTAAGTAAGTATATACCAAGTAGGAGAAAGGCTGTTTAGGAGAACAGCACCGGACAGCATGTATTTTGTATCTTTTTTTTTCTATCATACACTTCACTTCTATCTTATATTCATTGACGAAGTAAAACAGGTAAAGAGAATAGAAAGTGAGTTATAGTTCGTCTCTGTATCTGTAACTTTGGATAGAATGAAGTATTAAACGTTAATTAAATTAAACAGTAAATATTTGATAAAGATACTTACAAAACATTTTAAACCAAACCCTATCCAAATCCTCGAAACTACCTTTTAGATAGCGATAAACAAATAAACTCTTAAATTGAAGTGTAACATCTGACTTTCATTAAAAAAAAAATCGAATATAATATCGACAATAAACTGAGACGATCGTAACAAGAAACTTGTGGCAGACTGTATCAACAACCCCACATATTTGCAATTTTTTATCAAGAACTACTCATGTTTTTTTTTAAATACGCTATTCTATTTTTCGAGACATTTAAGATTACTTAATGACTAACAACATAAGGTAATTACATTAAAAAATGTTAAATGGAAAGAGTTCAGCCAAAAATAGAAGTTAAATAATGAAATGTTGTTATTTCCTTATTTATTCTCAAGGAAATCCCAAAATAAAAGAACGATATTAAAGAACAATATGTTATTTGAATGCCCAAGAGGTTAAATGTTGCATCGGAAAGGCAAAAAGTGCATTCTTAATTATGAGCTCTGTGTTCAAGAGTTCTGTCCATGACCTCACCCTAGAAACAAAAATGAGGCTCCTTAAATGTTATGTATACTCAGTGCTTCTATACGGAGTAGAAACGTGGACATTAAAGGCGAAAATTCTATCAAAACTTCAGGCTTTTGAGCTATGGTTATACAGAGGAATCCTGAAAATACCATGGACAGCTAAAGTCACCAATGAAGAAGTACTGCGGAGGATGAACACAACAGCGGATTTGGTCAACATCGTGAAGAGCTGTAAGATGCAGTACTTGGGACATATAATGATGTATCGTATACATCAACTAAAAGCTACTCCAATGCATTTTGCAAGGTAAAATTTAAGCAAAAAGGGCCCAAGACGAAGAAGAGTATCCTGGCTTGGTAACCTGAGAGCATGGTATAGAAAGACCTCAACACAGCTATTTCGTATAGCAACCAACAAAGTCATCATAGCCCGAATGATCGCCAACGTTCGGAACGGAGAGGTACACTAAGAAGATGATATTTGCTTCATTTCGTTAATTTTTTGCTATATTTATTATTTATTTAAAATTAGCAAACGACAATGGAGTCTCCCAAGGAAATATTATTTATGTAGGAACTCTTGGACGTCCGTTATATATATATATATATATTATATATATATATATATATATATATATATATATATATATATATATATATATATATGGACCGGGTATCCGGTTCATATACATATCTTCATTTATCAAGCTTGTAATAGGATATGGCCATATTAACACAATTTTTTGAACGGTTGTAAGCAACTCACATAGCAGTAATGTTAATCGTTTGTGACAGCGTAAATCAAGAGACAATATTGAATGTTCACGCCTCAATTGTAGGTCAAATAGTTTTAGTAGTTCCTGTTTAGTTCCTTAATACCCTTAAAGAAATCAACTGTGCTAGTAGAACTAGCATCTTAGTTAAACAGTCTAATTATTCTAGCTAAACGCCCCTTAAACCAAAAGTGATGCACTTTAAGCTTATATAATATAAAAAATAAGTTTAGACGAGCCCAACTTGGGGAGAAAAAATTCCGGTAGTTGGCCTTCTGTTGTATTCCCTCAAATGAAACTCTTCAGAACCATAATCTCCACTCTTACCACCCTTTTTACTCAAAAGATGTATATCAGATATAACAATACTCTTACTAACAGCTTTGCACATATCATAAACAGTTAACGCAGCTACACTGACAGCCGTCAAAGCTTCCATTTCCACTCCGGTTTTTCCTTCGCATAGAACTTGAGCTTGTATCTCGACGGTTTCTTGTTCTTTGTTCAAACGGGCTCGAACTTTAACGCAAGAGAGACCAATATTATGACAGAGAGGGATGATTTCTGAAGTTTTTTTGGCTCCAGTAATACCTGCTATTTCGGCAATTGTGAGGACGTCTCCTTTCTTTATGGCATTTTCTAAAATAAGTTGAGTGATGCGAGGACCTACTTTAACTATAGCTATGGCAGATGCGGCGCGCTTAGTTACATTTTTATCAGCCACGTCGACCATGTGCGCTTTTCCCTCCTCATCAACATGGGTTAGTTCTTGAGTGTTTTGTTGGGATGAATAGTGTCTTAGGAAGGAAAGAGCTGAGGATTTTGGAAAAAGATGAGAAAGATTTTTGGATAAATTTGGAGTAATGTTCATGTCGAATCTGCTGGATGTGTTGGTTGTGCCTGAAAAAAACATACATTACAAATCATGAAAACTTTGTTACTAAATATATAATAAGAACAATAGTTAAGTGTTTTTTGTTATGTTATGAAGCAGAACAATAATACAATGTGCAAACTGTGCGGTATATTGCTGGTGAAATATAATTAAAAAATATCTCACTGAAGTGTTTATATGAAAAAGCAATATTGGAAACTACAATCGATATAAATATTTTTACCAATAACGATAATACATGGGTGATTTCATGGAAAAATTTTGAATATTGAAAATGAATTTGGTGTCTCGCCACTTCACAGAGACGACGCTTGATGTCTTCTAGTGCCTCTTTAAACATCTCTTCTGAGCACATATTAAAAAGTAGAGGGGATAGTACACATCCTTGTCGTACTCCTCTTCTTGTGGGTATCTCTTTAGATTTTTGTTGGTCTACTCGTGTTATGGCTTTCTGATATCGGTATACATTGGGTGAATGAGTAACGTTCTGAGTTTTATATTGTAAATAAGGCCGCTCTAGTATATATATTGTGGCTAAACACCCCGTACGGGGTTACGCCGCTTAAGCTCTCTAGATCTATTTTACGAGGTAGATCAGTCCTCATTTTCTTTATTTAATTTTTCTTGTTATTTTTCTCCACTGTTTCCTATCTCTGGTTTTTTCTCTCCATTGTCGTACGCCCGCCCTGTTGAGATCGTTTGTTACTTCTTGTAGCCATGTAGATCTTGGTCTTCCACGTCTTCGTTTACCAGCTGGTGTCCATTCCAATATTGAGAATATTGTCGTAGATGGTCCTGATCTCCATATATGTCCTAGCCATTTTGCCCTTTGCTGTTTTATTTTACAAACTATATCCTCTTTAATTTCGTTTAGTAGTTCATGATTCGTTCTTTGTCTATATTGGTTTTCATTAATTTTTATTGGTCCTAATATTGCTCTTAGTATTTTCCTTTCTAGTATTCTAAGGTCTTCCTCTTGTTTTTTTGTCATGCTAAGGGTTTCGGCAGCATACATCATAGTCGGTCGAATTATTGTTTTATATATTTTCATTTTCGATTTTTTGCTCAGTAATTTATTTTTTAGAAGCTTTTTATTTGCATAGTATGTCTTATTTGCTGTAATTATCCTTTCTTTAATTTCTGTTTCCCTTTCTCCATTGTTTGCTAATAATATTCCCAAATACTTAAACTTTTCTACTTCTTCAAATATATATTCTCCCAGTCTAACCTTTTTGTTTTCATATTTTTTGTCAAATCTCATTATTTTTGTTTTTTCTTGATTTATTACTAATCCCATTACTTTCCCTTCTGCTACCAATTCTTTTAACATACTTTCCATTTTTTTTCTGTTCTTTGTTATTATCACAATATCGTCGGCATATGCTATTATTTGTCCCTCTCTCGTTCTAAGTGTACCTTTGTTGATTTTTCTGACTATATATTCCAGGGCAAGATTAAACAGAGTTGCAGATAATGAATCTCCTTGACGTACACCTTTATTTATAACAAATTCTTCTGTGTCTCCTTCTTGTGTTTTTACAGTTACTACGGTTTTGCTCATTGTCATTTTTATTAATCGTCTTAATTTGTTGTGTATTCTCATTTCTCTCATAGCTGTAAGTAATTTCGCTCTGTTTATTGAATCAAATGCTTGTTGGAAGTCTATAAAAAGCAGTTCAATTTCTATTTTATATCCATAAGCTTTCTCCATAATTTGCTTTACCGTATGTATGGCATCTGTTGTTGACTTTCCCCTAATAAATCCGCATTGATACTGTCCCATGATATTTGTTGTCGCTTTGGCCAGTCTTCGTTGTATTAAGGTTGACATGATTTTATACGCTGTGTTTAATAATGTCAGTCCTCTATAATTATTACACATTTGTTGGTCTCCTTTTTTATGGATTGTGATAATTTGTCCTTTGTGCCATTCTTCTGGCATCTTTTCTTCGTCCCATATGACTTTTATTAATTGGTATATTTTTTCTCTGAGTTCATGTCCACCATATTTTATTAGTTCCATGTTTATACCGTCTATACCTGGTGCTTTACCGTTGCGACTACTGTTTATAATTTCCTCAACTTCATCTCTCGTTGGTTTTTCTAGCTCGGTTTCTATCATCGTGGTCTCTTCTTCCACATTTTCATTTAAGTCTTCGTCCTCTTGTACTGTTAATAATTCTTTAAAATAATCAGTCCAGATTTCTTTAAACTCTTTGTCATTTTCTGATACTTTTCCATTTCTATCCTTTATGCCTTTTATCTTTCCTTTGAAGGTTTTGTTCTGCTCGCTAATTTTCTTATAAAATGCTTTTGTGTTTCTATTTGTGTTTTCTTTTTCTATTTCATTTATCTTATCATTTAACCAGGTTCGTTTAATTTTTCTTATTTGTTTCTTACATTCTGTCCTTAATTTGTTGTATTCTTCTTTATATTCTTGTCTATTTGTTCTGATCCACCTTTGTCTTATTTCTATCTTCTTTTTTAACATGTTATGACAGTCTTGATTATACCATTCTTCTTTTTTGTTCTTTCTCTCTATCCCTACATGTTCAGAAGCTGTTTCATTTATACATTTTTTTATATTGCTCCATTCTGTTTCAACATCCTCTGTATGTTCACAGTATTCTTTCAGTTTTTTGCTTATATCTTCTGCATATTTAATTCTTCTATCTGTATCATTTAATTTTTCTATGTACCATTTGTAAGGCGCTCTAGTGCCAAAGCCTTTTCTAAATCCCAGTTTGTCTCTTGTTTTTATATCGTCTGGTTTTTTGTAGGTTCATGTATCACTCACAAGAATACTTTTAAAACATGGTTCATCAAGCTGATCGTTCTGTACTCTTCACATTTCATTGCGTTGGGTTTTTGGGGTATTTGGGTGAACTCAGATATTAGCCATTCTTTCGGAATTTTCCCGGTATAGTAAATTTCGTTGATTCTTACGCTTTATATCGGTTCTTTGAGCCTTGTTTTCTTTTACAATGAAACCTATATTAACATACACGGCGGAGACAATACCTGAGACATCTAAAACGAGACGACTACTAGAAACAACAGAGATGAAAATACTCCGACGAATATCAGGGAAAGTCTGTTGGATAGGGAGAGAAGCGAAAATATAAGAAGAGCATGCAATATAGAAGACATAAATGGATGGGTGACAAAACGGAAACAGAGTGGAACGAACACATTAGTAGAATGGCAGAGGATAGGATAGTACGAATAGCACAGATAAGTCACCAAATGGACGAAGAAGTATTGGCAGACCAAGAAAAAGATGGTGCGATAATTTAAACAATTTAGGAGGCTAATATTGAAGAAGAAACAGGCTTTAAAGCCTACATACAAGAAGGAAGAAGAAGAAGACTTCTATTAGTATATTAATGTGGTTCTCTATTAGTAGTCTGAAGATTTCTGTAGGTATTTCATCCTGTTCCATCACTTTATCATTTTTTTTTATACGTTTTAGTGCTTTTTAATTTCCTCTTTAGTAATTGTAGGACCCTTCTACCTCTTGGTTCTACTGTCTTTATTCTTGTTTGCTTTTAGGGGATGTATCGTCCTCAAGTTGATGTTGTATGATGTTCCTCGGGATCTTCCTAACTCTCTCTTTCTACTCTGTCTTTCTACTTTCTAGACTTCCTTGTGTATTTGTTCTTTGATCTGTTGATAGATATCAGCTTTTTTAGTTTTCTTAGATTAATTCTAGATGTTTTGGTGGTTGTTTTTATTTTCTTTAGTTTGAGTTTCATGTCTGCTAAAACAAGGTTGTGGTCACTTGCTACATCAGCCCCTGACTTACTCGGTACTATGGCGTCATGGAATTTTTTGTTTATAATAATGTAGTCAATCTGGTTTTTAACTATGTTCTCACCGTCATCTCTAGGGGCTTTCCAGGCGTATATTTGCACCATGTGTTCTTGATAATGAGTTCGTTGAGCTTGCAACTGGCCTAGCTTCTCTCCTCTCTCATTACGTGTTCCTAGTCCATATTCGCCTACTACTTCTCAATCTCTCACTTTCCCTACCTTCGCATTTAAGTCACCTAAAATAATATTAACTTCTATTTTGGTTTCTCCCAGTGATTGTCTAATTCATTGTCAAACCTCTCTATTTCTTCCTCTGTGCTATCAAATGCCGGTGTGTCTGTAATGATGTTTATATAGTACGGAATGGCGTACAATTCTGTTCGTTATCTGTATAAAATCTTTGACTGAACTTTCGGTTTCTTTGTTCATGACAATAGCTACTCCATTGCGATTTTGTGGGGTGTTATCTCCAGAGTAATAAAACACGTAGTTGTCTATTACACTTCTGCCGCTGTTAGGCCATCGAACTTCACTACATCCAAGGATGTCTATCTGTAAGCGTTGCATTTCTTGTATCAGGCTATGAGCTTTTCCTTGTTGGTATAGACAGCATATCCCAGATGGTACGAAGCCCGCCTTCACTTATTTAATTAATTACGAAAACAATAATGCAATCATACCATATAGGGAAGAAGTAATCTATATATCAAAAATGATTCACTGATAGATCAAAATCTCGTTTCCTTTTTCGTGAATCATGATCCTTGAAACAGACAATCAAATTCAGCGAATACTACGAACTAGCACGTTTGCTGGAAAGTAAGAGATCTGACGGAATCTTCAAACCTAGAAGTCTCATACCCACTCGTCTGCTTCACGAAAGATACCACTACAAATGAAATGCAATAGTAGTCTAATGGATCTTAGCCTATGTGAGCTAAATTCAGTCATAGAGATGGTGACTGGACACTGTACAGGAAGGAAGTACATTTATATCTCTGAGAATTTGAAATCTTTACTACTTGGCCAATTTCACTTTTTCTCTGAGATGCGTAAACAAAGAATGGCAATAACTCTACCTATTAAAAGCAAAACGATTGTTTAAAATGATCCTGTATCAAAAATTTAAAGCAGATATCTGGACAACTTCAAAAAAAATTTTAACTATTTATATTTTAAAAAAATTAGCTACT